GTTGAGGATGTCTCGAGGGAAAACGCTGGTTTTGCAAAATTTGGGGATGTCTCGAGCGGGGGCTTCGTGGGGGGCCAGAATTCAGAGGATGTCTCAGGTGAAATGCTTGTTTTCGTGTCCCGCTCGCAGGAATTCCAAGGATGTCTCGCGCGTGGGCTTCGTGGGGGGCCAGACTTCAGAGGATGTCTCAGGCGAAAGGCTTACTTTCGTGTCCCGCTCGCAGGAATTCCACGTCGCCTGGCGCGTCCCTTGGGACGTTTCGCGGCGCGTCCTCCTGGCATGTCCCCCTGTCAATTAGCTCTGGGGCAGCTACTATGTTTTCAGGCAGCTCGAGCTTCAGATCCAGATCAGTTCGGTCAGGACTCGGATGCAAAGGAAGATCCGATCCACGACGCTATAGAGCACAACCGCGGCATGGCACATCGCAATTCAGCACGGTGCAGCACAGCACAGCCCTCGGCACGGTACATCAAGATCGATACAATCAGCATTGCACTTGCCCGTCACCCACTCAGGTGTCTTTGAAAACGTTTCCACGCGTTACATTTCTATATTCCTTTCCGGGTTCGTGGGTCGATCATTTTTTTTTTGTTTCTTTTGGGACCTGGGTCATTACCAGCCGGGCTTGCCACACAAGTAATCAATGTGTAATTCGCCACAAAAAGATTCCCTGGGTAATCCGCCACAGAAGGAATCAACTTGTAATCCGCCACAGACGGAATCAACTTGTAATCCGCCACAAGAGGAATCAACATGTAATCCGCCACAGAAGGAATCAAATTGTAATCCACTACAAAAGGAATTAAGATGTAATCCACCACAAAAGGAATCAATTTGTAATCCGCCACAAAACGAATCCATGTGTGATCCGCCGCAAAAGGAATCCATGTGTAATCCGCTACAGGAGGAATCAATTTGTAATCCGCCTCAAAAGGAATCAGTTTGTAATCTGCAACAGGGGAATCAACTTGTAATCCGCCACACACAAAGTTAATGTGTAATTCGCCACAAAACGAATCAATGTGTAATTCGCCACAGACGGAATCTATTTGAATTCCGCCACGCAAGGAATCAATGTGTAATCGGCCACAAGCACAATTAATGTGTAATTCGCCACAAGAGGGATCTTTTTGTAATCCTACACAAAAGGAGTCCATTTATATTTTGCCACAAGAGGATTCAAATTGTAATTGGCCGCGAAAGAAAACCTTCTGTAGGGAGGGGATGTAAATGGTGGGTCAATCGCTACTGGGATTCTATGAGAGGTGGATCCATCTCTCATCGGATTCTATTAGACGTGGATCCATATGTAAGCGGATTTTCTTAGAGGTGGATCCATCGCTACTAGGATTCTACTAGAGGTGGATCCATGTCATATAGGATTCCATTACAGGTGAATCCATCTCTAATCGAATTCCATTTGAGGTGGACCCATCCTTAAACTGATTCTATAAGAAGTGGATCCATCCCGAGAAGAGTTCTATTAGAGGTGGGTCTAGATGCAGTAGGGTTCCATTTGGTGTGGATCCATCCCGAATAGGATTCAAGTAGAGGTGGACCCATCTCTAATAATAGTCAAGTAGTGGTGGATCCATCTGTAGTAGGGTTCATTAGAGGTGGATCCATGTGTAGCAGGACACTATTAGAGGTGGACCCTTCTCTTTTGTATTCCATTTGATGTGGATCCATTTGTGATAGGTTTTCATTTGAGGTGGGCCCATCTCTCGTGGGATTCCATTAGTTGTGGATCCAGCTGTAGTCGGATTCCATTAGAGACGGATCCATTTGTAGCAGGATTCTATTAGATGTGCATCCAATCGTAATGGGATTCTATTGGGGGTGGTCCCATCGGTATTAGGATTCTATTACAGGTGGGTCCATCTGTGGTAAGAAGGAATTTGGGGTGGGCCCGTTTGTAATAGGATCCCATTAGATGTGGATCCATATGTATTAGAAGTCTATTATGGGTGGATCCATGTCTTGTAGGAGCCCATCAGAGGTAGGTGGACCCATCCCCAATAGGTTACTATCAGCGGTGGATCCATATGTACTAGGATTATATTAGAGGTGGGCCCATCTGTCATAGGGTTCTGTTAGAGATGAACCCATCCGCACTAGGACTCCATTAGAGGTGGATCCATCTCTAATCGGATTCTATCAGAGGTGGATCAGTCCTTAATAGGATTCCCTTCGGGGTGGGCCCATTTGTAATAGGATTCTGTTAGAGGTGGGCCAATCTCTAATAGCATGCCATTGGGGACGGAACCATATCCAATAGGAGTCCATTAGAGGTGGGCCCACCTGTAATTGGAGCCCATTAGAGGGGCATCCATGTCTAGTTGGATTCTATCAGCGGTGGATCCATCGCTAATAGGACTCTACTAGAGGTGGGCCCATATGTACTGGGATTATATCAGACGTGGGCTCATTTGTAAATAAAGGATTGTATTAGAGGTGGATCCATCCGTACCAGGAGTCCATTCGAGGTGGATCCATCTCTGATGGGATGCCATTAGTTGTGGACCCACATCTAAGTGGAATATATTACAGGTGGATCCATATGCCATACGATTATATAGAGGTGGCTCCTTCTGTAATGGGATTTTATTAAGGGGGGGGGTCCAATGCCTACTCGGATTCTATGGGAGGCGGATCCATACGTAGTAGGATTCTCTTTGAGGTGTACCGATTTGTAATACGATTCTATGAGACGTGGATCCATCTGTAAGGCGGTTCTATTCGGCGTCGATACATGCGTTTTAAGATTCCATCAGGGGTGGATGCATCTGTAAGAGGATTCCATTCGAAGTGGGCCCATCTCTAATAGGATTCCAGTAGAGGCGGGTCCATGTTTAATCATATTCCACCCTGCTTTTCCACGGGCAAATCCGTGCAAAACGTCGTGTTCCAGGGGGCTGAGACAAAGCCTCCACAGGGCGGGGGGGAGGGAGAGAGAGGGAGGAAGGGAGGGAGAAGGAAACGGAAAAGGAGGAGGAGGAGTGGACGGAGGAGGGGGAGGAGGAGGAGGAGGAGGAGGAGGAGGAGGAGGAGGATGAGGAGGAGCAGGAGCAGGATAATGAGGAGGAGGAGGAGGAGCAGGAGCAGGAGAGGGAGGGAGGAGAGGGAGGGAGGGGGGATGATGATGATGAGGAGGAGGAGGTGGAGGAGGAGGAAGAGGAGGGGGAGGAGGAGGATGATGAGGATGGAGGGGTGATGATGCTGCTGATGATGATGCTGATGATGCTGATGCTGCTGATGATGCTGCTGATGATGCTGATGCTGATGCTGATGATGCTGCTGATGATGGTGGTGATGATGATACTGATGATGATGCTGATGATGATGACAATGAGGATGATGATGCTGGTGCTGATGCTGATGACGATGATGATGGCGACGATGACGATGACGATGATGATGAGGTTAATGATGATGTTGATTCCGATGATAATGATGATGATTTCGATGATGATGGTGATGCTGATGATGATGATGATGATGATGATGATGATGTTGACGATGATGCTGATGCTGATGATGATGATGATTATGATGCTGATGCTGATGATGCTGATGCTGGTGATGATGATGATGCTGATGCTGCTGCTGATGATGCTGATGATGCTGATGATGATGAAGATGATGCTGATGCTGATGATGATGATGATGATGATGATGATGATGATGATGATGATTACGTTGATGATGATGCTGATGATGGTGATGCTAATGCTGCTGTTTTTGCTGCTGCTGATGATGGTGGTGGTGATGATGATGATGATGCTGCTGATGATGATGATGATGATGCTGCTCGTGATGATACTGATGTTTATGATGATTTGTGACGATGCTGCTGTTCATGATGATGATGCTTATGATGATGCTGATGATGCTGATGATGCTGATGATGATGCTGATGATGATGATGCTGATGCTGAAACTGCTGCTGATGATGATGATGATGACGATGATTATGATGATGATGATAATGCTGACGCTGCTGCTGCTGATGATGATGCTGATGATGCTGATGCGATGGTGCTGATGCTGCTGCTGCTGATGATGCTGATGATGATGGTGATGACGTTGATGATGCTGCTGATGATGATGCTGCTGATGATGATGGCTGTGATGGATGGTGGTGGTGGTGGTGGCGGTGGTGGTGATGATGATGATGATGATGATGGTGATGATGATGCTGGTGGGAATGATGGTGCTGCTGCTGATGATGATGAGGATGATGATGATGATGATGATGATGATGATGATGATGATGATGCTGATTAGGCTGATTATGCTGATGCTGATGATGATGCTGATGATGCTGATGCGATGATGATGATGGTGGTGATGGTGATGATGATGATGATACTGATGATGATGATAATGCTGATGCTGATGCTGCTGTTGCTGCTGATGATGCTGATGATGATGATGATGATGATGATGATGATGATGATGATGATGATGATGATGATGATGATGATGATGATGATGATGATGATGATGATGATGATGATGATGATGATGATGATGATGATGATGATGATGATGATGATGTTGGTGATGCTGTGATGATGATGATGATGATGATGATGATGATGATGATGATGATGATGATGATGATGATGATGATGAGATGATGATGATGATGATGATGATGATGATGATGATGATGATGATGATGATGATGATGATGATGATGATGATGATGATGATGATGATGATGATGATGATGATGATGATGATGATGATGATGATGATGATGATGATGATGATGATGATGATGATGATGATGATGATGATGATGATGATGATGATGATGATGATGATGATGATGATGATGATGATGATGATGATGATGATGAGGAGGAGGAGGAGGAGGAGGAGGAGGAGGAGGAGGAGGAGGAGGAGGAGGATGACGAGGGCGAGGAGGACGAGGGTGACGAGGACGAGGGAGACGAGGAAGAGAAGGCGTTCAACCTACGCCCCCCTGCGAGGCAGGAGGCGGAACTGGCGCGGGCTGCCGAGGAGCGCGAGCTTCTGGGCGTGACCGTCCGAGGGGGCTTCGAGGACTGCCAGTTCAAGCGCTGCCGTTGCAATCGTTTCCTCATCCTTCCCTGTTCCTCCTCCTCTCCCTCCTTCCTCCTTGCCCTTGGGTGGAGGGATCGTGAGAGGCTGGGGCCTGAGAGTTGGGTTCCTCCCTGCATTCACCCCAGGGGGGAAGAGGAGAGGATGCGGAGTGTGTGGAGGGGGTGGGGCGCAGTCCTCCCCTCCCCAGTGCCTCCTCCTCGCTGGGCTCCCCCCTCTGTGCGGGCAGTGGGAGGGGGTGGCGGGCAGCGGAGGGAGGGAGAACGTGAGCGACGGGCGGGAGGGGGGGGATTTGGATTCCTTTCACCCTTCAGCCTACCGACCGGGGGGCCAGGAAAGGGGGAGCGGGAGGGGAGGTGCTCGGGAAGTCTCCCCGCGCCTCGATTCGGGACGAGGGAGGAGGCGCGGCCGGGAGGGGGGCAGGGCTGGACTTCTCCCGAGGCCCGCCTCCCCCGTGGGGGGGGGGTGGGCGAAGGGGGAGGAAGGGCGAGGGTCCACCGCCCCCGTCGCCGTAGTCGAGGGTGAACGGGGAGCGAGGGGGAGGGGTGAGGTCTCCCTCTCGTTTCTTTTTCCTCCTCCTCCTCCTGCTTCTCCTCCTCCTTCTCCTCCTCCTCCTCCTCCTCCTCCTCCTCCTCCTCCCCTTTCAGCCGCTCGCTTCCCATCCCCGTTCGCCGGCCCACTATTCGCCTGCCGAGATCCAAGCGGACCTGGGCGATCCGCTCGGATGGATGCGCGCCGCCCGGCAGGAGGAGGTAGACGTCGCCTGCAGCCGGCTGCACAACGACGCGGCGCTCAGGTGGGAGCGCCTGGAGCTCAGGAGGCAGGCGATCGAGGAGGCGGAGCTGATGGAGCTCAGTGGTGGCTGCAGCAGGCCCCATCCCTTGATATGTTCGTCCCTCCCTCTCTCTCTCTCTCTTCCTCTTTCCAGCCTCGGCTCAGGGATCCCTCCCGGTCCAGGGCCACGTCCCCGACCTCCCAGCGCTCCTCGCCCTGGTGAGACGGAGCCCGCCACGGAGGCTTCCCTCGCGCGTCCAACTCTTCGACGACCGCTGCCGAGGACGAAGCATGGGTCGCGCCAAAGCGGCGCTGCCACTGTCACGCAAGATCTGCGATCCTCGCTCCGGAGAGCCGGCGGCCCCTTTTTCCCGGAGAGGGCTTCAAGCCCGGGGTTCTCTTTTAGAGGTTCCCCCCCGGTTTTGACGGGAAGAGGGCTGGCGGGTTTCTTTTGCGATGAATAGCGAGTGGGAAGAGGGCCGGCGAGTGAAAGATTGAGGATGTCTCGAGCGAAACGCTTGTTTTTTGTCAGAATTTGTGGAGGGTGTCTCGAGCAAAACGCTTGTTTTGTGTTATAGATTGTCCTCTCCTGGGGACCAGAATTTAGAGGATCTCTCAAGTGAAATGCTTGGTTTCACGTGCCCAGGTCTTGAGGATGTCTCGAGCGAGACGCTTGGTTTCACGCCTCCAGGTTGCCCAGGCAGAGGTCAAGCGCCAGGATTTGTTGAGGATGTCTCGAGCGAGACGCTTGGTTTCACGCGTCCTCGTCGCCCAGGCGGATGTCTAGAATGAGGAGGTGTTGAGGAAGTCTCGATCGAGATGCTTGTTTGCACGTGTCCAGGTTGCCCAGGCGGATGCCTAGCATGAGGATGTGTGGAGAATGTCTCGAGAGATACGCTTGTTTTCACGTGTCCAGGTCGCCCAGGCGGATGTCTAACATGAAGATGTGTTGAGGATGTCTCGAGCGAGACGTTTGCTTTCACGTGCACAGGTCGCCAAGGCGGATGTCTAGAATGAGGAGGTGTTGAAAACGTCTCGAGCGAAACGCTTGTTTTCACGTGCCCAGGTCACCCAGGCGGACGTCTCACATGAAGATGTGTTGAGGATGTCTCGAGCGAACTACTTGTTTTCACGTGTCCAGTTCGCCCAGGCGGATGTCTAGCATGAGAATGTGTTGAGGATGTGTTGAGCGAAACGTTTGTTTTCACGTGTCCAGGTCGCTCAGGCGGATGTCTAGAATGAGGATTTTGACAGGATGTCTCGAGCGAAATGCTTGTCCCCAGCACGTTCCGCAGCGCGTCCCCTTGGCACGTCCTACGGTGCGACCCCATGGCACCTCCCCTGGCACGTCGCCTGGCGCGTCCCTTGAGACGTTCCGCGGCGCGTTCTCCTGGCGTGTCCCCCTGTCAATTAGCTCTGCGGCAGATACTATGTGTTCAGGCAGCTCGAGCTTAAGATCCAGATCAGTTCGGTCAGGACTCGGATGCAAAGGAGGACTCGATCCACGACGCTATAGAGCACAACCGCGGCATGGCACATCGCAATTCAGCACGGTGCAGCACAGCACAGACTTCGGCACGGTACATCAAGATCGATACAATCAGCATTGCAACCTGGCACGTTCCTTGGCACGTTCCGTGGGGCGTCCCTTGGCGAGTCCCCCTGGCACGTCGCGTGGCGCGTCCCCTGGCACATTCCGTGGCACATCCATTGGCACGTTCCGCAGCGCGTCCCCTTGGCACGTCCTACGGTGCGACCCCATGGCACCTCCCCTGGCACGTCGCCTGGCGCGTCCCTTGGGACGTTTCGCGGCGCATCCTCCTGGCATGTCCCGCTGTCAATTAGCTCTGCGGCAGATACTATGTGTTCAGGCAGCTCGAGCTTAAGATCCAGATCAGTTCGGTCAGGACTCGGATGCAAAGGAAGACTCGATCCACGGCGCTATAGAGCACAACCGCGGCATGGCACATCGCAATTCAGCACGGTGCAGCACAGCACAGCCCTCGGCACGGTACATCAAGATCGATACAATCAGCATTGCACTTGCCCGTCACCCAATCAGGTGTCTTTGAAAACGTTGCCATGCGTTACATTTCGATATTCCTTTCCGGATTCGTGGGTCGATCATGTTCGAGGCCTCCCAGCTGGGGTCGGAGCAGATGGGGTCGGAGGATCGCGCCGCATCGCCGATGCGGCTCGATCTGGAGCCCCATTTTCTCCGCTCCGATGTCGCCGATGCACCGCCGACGTCGCCGATGCATCGCCGATGCATCTGCGATGCGGCGCGACCCTCCGCCCTCATCTACTCCGACCCCATCTGGGAGGCCTCTCTACTCTTCTCGCCCGCCAGCGGGGACCTCCCAGCCTTCCCACGCCAGCGGTCGCCCGCCAAAATGGCTGAACGCTGCACTTCTCGTGGCGGCCCGCTTCGGCTCCCAACGGGAAGCCTTTGCGACTCCATGTTGGCTTGCAGAGCTGCACGCGCAGCTGTTCTCCAAGACGAGGAGGAGGAGGAGGAGGAGGAGGAGGAGGGAGGAGGACCGCGAGAGAACGAGCAGCAAGGAGGACGGCGGAGGGGCGGAGGAGGAGACGGGCTGGGCGCCCGCCCCCGCGGAGGTCCGAGCCACCTGGGGCCGATCGTGCCGCTGCAGCACTCCGGCACCTCCTCTCGGTTCCGCCTCCTCCGGGGCCGACCGCGTCTAGCACGAGCACGCGAACACCCCACCGAGCTCCGCACGACTCTCCAACGCCTCCGCGGCCACTACAGAGCCAGCCGGACACTGGCCCACCATCGGGCCCAGGGGCAGCCACGTCGTGTGGGCGAGCCCAAGCACTCGGGCCGACGCCCAGCCTCCAACAGGGGAGGCCGACCCCCCGACGTTTAGAGCCTCGACGCGGCACGCCAGTCAGTCCCAGTGCTGGCTCGCCCCAGCGTGCGCTTCTGACGACGACGCGTGCGCGAGCACCGTCCCGCAGCACGGCCACGAAGAAGACGAGAAGATGCTCACCCCGTTCCTCACTCAGGGCCAACCGCTGGCCCTGGCGGTCTGTGGGCCCCCGAACCCAGCTCTGCGCAGGCACCGAGGTGACCATCCCCGTCCTCATTCGCCACGCTGTCGGCCGCAGAGGCCCTGTTCGCGCACGTCGACGGTACGGTCTACCAGTTCGGGTCCGCCGAGATCGTGTGTGGCCCGAACACTGCCCAGTCCACGGTCGATCCATCCGTCCGCGTCACATGGATTGGCCCGAGTCGCCATTCGCCCAAAGGAGTCCCAACAGTTACCATCCTGGAGCATATCCCTGCCCCTATGATTGGCATCGGCTCATCTCGATGCCGATCTGGAGGATGCCCTCAGTTTTCGAGGGCGCATCCCTATGATTTTCATGATCTTAGGGACAGGGATAAGTTCGTGGCTGGACAAATAGCTGCTCACATCGCAATCCTCTGGCGCAGCCCCCGTCCGCGGGGCTGGTCGAGAGCCTCGGGGGTGGGGGGGGGTGTGGGCTTCGCCCAGGCAGACAGCCCGCAGGCGCCGCGAGGCCAGCTCCAGCAGCGAGCCCAGCTCCGAGCGGGACGAAACATTCCATGACCTTCGTTGTGTATTCGACGCGTGCGCAGTGCAGAACACGTGCTGCTAGCGCGGCCCCCTCTGGTGGGGCCTCTGGGGCACATGGCTCCAGAGGTGTGGAAGCGCTGCTACAAACCCTTCTCTCCCGCTGGTGTTGAACTGTGTATGCAGCGCGCTCAAGGCCCTCTTCCAAGCCACTTCGCCATTGCTCAGGAGGGAAAAATACACACAGACACAATTATTCGCCGAGTCCCAGGAAAATGTAGGAAAATAGTGGAATTGGGCGGGAAGACAGAAACCCAGAAAATGTGGGAAAACATGGGGAATCGTTTTATTTGTGTGTATTTGTTTGTGTGTCCCAGGGCCCCTTCATAGTGCTGAACTGTGTGTGCAGCGCGCTCAAGGCCCTCTTCCAAGCCACTTCGCCATTGCCACGGTCCGCGAGCCGGCCGGGTGCCTCGGCCGCCACGGCACGGCCGATAGGGAGGCGCAGGGGCGCTCTCCCGGTCGTGTCCGGCATCTCGCCCGCTCGGCGTCACCGACGTCCTCGCCGTCTTTCGGGCGTGGACAGAACCCCCAACAGTGACACGTCGATCAGTGAGAGGTCCGTTTTCGGTTCTCGAGACGGCGCCGTGGCCGTTCTTTTCCAGGCTTGCGCCCGCCAGGTTTGGGCCTCAGGTCGTTTTCACTAAACCGCGTTTTACTAAAGGGGGGTCTGTCCATCCCCGAGTCTTGGACACAGGCGGGCGACGCCCAAAAACGGGTCGTCGGCGTCGACATTGGCGCGTGAGCTGCCTGCGTGAGATCGCGCGTGAACGCCCTCGTCTCTAATGGGGCGCTCCGCGCTGGCGGCCCGCGCAAGCTGCGGCGTGAGGTCGGCACGTCATCTCACGCAAGGACCCGTTCTTGATCGTCGCTCAGGGATCACCTAATACCACAGCTACCATAGCACTTCTCAACTGTCGGCCACGGCCCTTTCTCCGTATGCGTCCTGCGCCACCTCGCTGGACCCGCCAGGTTTCGTATCGTCGCGCCTGGAGCAAACAACACCCTCGTGGGGGCAGCGGGCGCCAGATGCGGGCCGCGCCGTAACGCCATCGGGACAACGCGGGGCGTCGAACCCGTTGTACTTCTTCCGTGTATCTGTGCTTTTTGTCGGAAAGGGCGCGGACCCAGGGTTCTTTTTTAGAGGTTCACCCCCAGAATCGAAGGGAAGCGGGCCGGCGGAATTATTTGCGGTAAATGACGAGGCGGGAAGAGGACAGGCGGAATTATTTTTGAGGATCGAGCGAAGAGTTTGTTTAGCGTGATATATTCTTCCACTCCTGGGGACCAGAATTCAGATGATGTCTCAGGTGAAATGCCTGTTTTTCGTATGTTCTGTATTGGGATGCGTATGTATTCGGGGAGCGCTGTTCGCTTCCCCCCGCCTCCCAGGACGCCCCAGGAGGTTCGAAAAGCGTGAAACAATCTGGTTCCTAACGCCCCAGGGCGGGAGAAGCGTGAAAACACATGGGTTCCTAACGCC